CCAAGTTAGACAACATGTACTAGAAAGGAAGGACAAATTACCACAGTGGCATATCTACTGTATTTGACACCTGCAGTGGATATTTGTATTTAACACTCACCCCCTCTATACAAGCAGGCAGGTGTGTTTCTATGGTATGCATTTTGCACAGAAGTTTGTGTAGTCCCCCCCTAACATTTTTGGTCAGTGGAGAAATGCTCCCTTACATTGGTGGTTGGTGTACTTTTTTACATTGGTGGCCAGAGGAGAGGTTTCTTCTAACATTGTTCATTGTCATTGTAGTCCCCCTTACATCAGTGGTCAGTGGGGAAAGACCCATTTACATTAATGGTATGTGAGGTGTTCCTTTGTTAGTGGTCATTGTTTTTTCCCTTTACATTGATGGTCAGCATAGTGCCCATTTTATATTGGTGGTCAGTGGAGAAGTTTCTTCTAACATTGGTGGTCATTGTAGTCCCCCTTACATCAGTGGTCAGTGGGGAAAGACCAATTTACATTAATGGTATGTGACGTGTTCCTTTATGTTAGTGGTCATTATATTGCCCCTTTACATTGATGGTCAGCATAGTGCCCATTTTACATTGGTGGTCAGTGGAGAAATTTCTTGTAACATTGGTGGTCATTGTAGTCCCCCTTACATCAGTGGTCAGTGGGGAAAGACCAATTTACATTAATGGTATGTGACGTGTTCCTTTATGTTAGTGGTCATTGTATTGCCCCTTTACATTGATGGTCAGCATAGTGCCCATTTTACATTGGTGGTCAGTGGTGAAGTTTCTTCTAACATTGGTGGTTATTGTAGTCCCCATTATATAACTGGTTAGTGGAGAAGGACCCATTTACATTGGTGGCCAGTGGAGAAGTGCCCCCTTACATTCATGGTCATTGCAGTGCCCCTTCTCAACAATGCATTTACAGTACTTATTGTCTGTAGCAAAGGTGGACCAACCTCAGGGCCTTGTCCTTGACATAACACTGACCTGCAATAAACAAGATTCAGACACATTTATTTCAAATATCCTGCTATGAGGGTAACATTTTCTATTCAACCCATCTAAGCCGTATTATAAGAGCTCTGCTCAGCTTGTTGTACAAAGGTTATAGTTAGCCTAGCACATTGAATGGGATTTGTTTATATTGTGGCTTGTTGAACAGTTAGATTTCTAAAAAATGTGTGCTGGCTGCTCAAAGGAACATATGATGACATGCACAATAAAAGCGATCGTAGGAAATTAAAAGCAAGAAACATTCATTTAGTAAAGAGAACATATTATAAAGTTAAGTCAGGTTAAGTCTTATAAAAGAGCTACAACTTTTTTTTTCAATTGCAAGACTAATCATAATCTGATTACACATACAGTCAGGTCCATAAATATTGGGACATCGACACAATTCTAACATTTTTGGCTCTATACACCACCACAATGGATTTGAAATGAAACAAACAAGATGTGCATTAACTGCAGACTGTCAGCTTTAATTTGAGGGTATTTACATCCAAATCAGGTGAACGGTGTAGGAATGACAACAGTTTGCATATGTGCCTCCCACTTATTAAGGGACCAAAAGTAATGGGACAGAATAATAATCATAAATCAAACTTTCACTTTTTAATACTTGGTTGCAAATCCTTTGCAGTCAATTACAGCCTGAAGTCTGGAACGCATAGACATCACCAGACGCTGGGTTTCATCCCTGGTGATGCTCTGCCAGGCCTCTACTGCAACTGTCTTCAGTTCCTGCTTGTTCTTGGGGCATTTTCCCTTCAGTTTTGTCTTCAGCAAGTGAAATGCATGCTCAATCGGATTCAGGTCAGGTGATTGACTTGGCCATTGCATAACATTCCACTTCTTTCCCTTAAAAAACTCTTTGGTTGCTTTTGCAGTATGCTTTGGGTCATTGTCCATCTGCACTGTGAAGCGGCGTCCAATGAGTTGTGAAGCATTTGTCTGAATATGAGCAGATAATATTGCCCAAAAACACTTCAGAATTCATCATGCTGCTTTTGTCAGCAGTCACATCATCAATAAATACAAGAGAAGCAGTTCCATTGGCAGCCATACATGCCCACGCCATGACACTACCACCACCATGCTTCACTGATGAGGTGATATGCTTAGGATCATGAGCAGTTCCTTTCCTTCTCCATACTCTTCTCTTCCCATCACTCTGGTACAAGTTGATCTTGGTCTCATCTGTCCATAGGATGTTGTTCCAGAACTTTGAAGGCTTTTTTAGATGTCGTTTGGCAAACTCTAATCTGGCCTTCCTGTTTTTGAGGCTCACCAATGGTTTACATCTTGTGGTGAACCTTCTGTTTTCACTCTGGTGAAGTCTTCTCTTGATTGTTGACTTTGACACACATACACCTACCTCCTGGAGAGTGTTCTTGATCTGGCCAACTGTTGTGAAGGGTGTTTTCTTCACCAGGGAAAGAATTCTTTGGTCATCCACCACAGTTGTTTTCCGTGGTCTTCCGGGTCTTTTGGTGTTGCTGAGCTCACCGGTGCGTTCCTTCTTTTTAAGAATGTTCCAAACAGTTGTTTTGGCCACGCCTAATGTTTTTGCTATCTCTCTGATGGGTTTGTTTTGTTTTTTCAGCCTAATGATGGCTTGCTTCACTGATAGTGACAGCTCTTTGGATCTCATCTTGAGAGTTGACAGCAACAGATTCCAAATGCAAATAGCACACTTGAAATTAACTCTGGACCTTTTATCTGCTCATTGTTATTGAGATAATGAGGGAAAAACACACACCTGGCCATGGAACAGCTGAGAAGCCAATTGTCCCATTACTTTTGGTCCCTTAATAAGTGGGAGGCACATATGCAAACTGTTGTCATTCCTACACCGTTCACCTGATTTGGATGTAAATACCCTCAAATTAAAGCTGACAGTCTGCAGTTAAAGCACATCTTGTTCGTTTCATTTCAAATCCATTGTGGTGGTGTGTAGAGCCAAAAATGTTAGAATTGTGTCGATGTCCCAATATTTATGGACCTGACTGTATACAATATACAAGTTTTGTCCATGGTATAATAATATATTTAAAAGCGAAGTTCAACGTTTTGACCATGTTTCATCTCACATACAGCATATTTTATGGTGTAACATGAAACATACTCAGCCTACTTCCCTTAAAGAATTTATTATTATTATTATTCAGGATTTATATAGCGCCAACAGTTTACTCAGCGCTTTACAAAATAAAGGGAGACAATTTGCTGCTGCTATTATTTGGTTTGGCTTTTTGCCGTCCCTTCTTGATGTCAATGGACATTTTGTTATTTGGCTAATACAGGTCAGCAGGATGTATCTGTTTATGTGTTATTGTTCTGCTCTGCCCCTGCGTGGGCATATCTTGAGCTTGTTGTATTCTTAAAACAAACATTTCTTAATAAAAATATTGAAACAGAATAAAGGGAGACAATACAGCAACAATACAGTTTAATACAAGAGGGTTAGGAGAGCCCTGCTCCTTGGAGCTTACAATCTAAGAGAATCACGGGGTTCTGCTCTCTGCCAGCTCCTGTCAAATTTGAATTTGGCACAGCTTTGCATAGCTCTGGGGATCTGAGAATTAAAAAATGGCAAGTCGCATCTGCAACTGTGACAGAGGAACTTGTAGATCTCAATGGAGCACATGTACAGTAACACTACTGCACTTGTAGTCCATTGATACATGCTCCAGCTCCATGACTGAAGGTCTGTACCTCAATACAGAACTGAGCTGTTCTTTGCAATATGAGTGCGCTTATTATTTTTTTGTAAAAGGTTAAATTAGCCTTTTAAGATCTACCAGTAGTCTTCTACCCTGAAGTCTAGCGGAAGGATGTGTGGTCCTTAGGTTACTTCCTCCCCTGCTTTGGGGGTCTCTCTTGGGGAGAGCAACTTAAGCTGGCCATAGATGGTTCAGATCTCGGTCAGTTCAGCAAGGACTGGCCAAGATTCAAACCATCTACGGGCAGGCTGATTGTTCCAATTGTTGTAAGACTTGGGTACAATCAGCATATCAGATTTTACATGTGATTATTGCATGCAGCTATTATAGCCACTAGCAATAATCACTGTGTTCTCCTGTCGGGAGCAACTCCCCTCGCCTGGAGAACACAATAGCTCCCCCATTAGCACTGACTGTGTTGATGAGGGAATCAATCGCAGCCAATCACTGGTACTCAGTGGTTGGCTTCAGCTGATCATGAGGAGAGGTGTCTTTAGGCTAGGTGTACCAGAGTGTGCCTTGGAGTTTTAGCCGGGTTGGGGGGGGGAGGCAGAGGAGGGTCCTTCCTCTTCTGGAGGAGACCATATGACATACCCTAGTGTATTTTTTTGTGTGTGTTGACATGCATTGTATTGATTCGCTCTGGTATTTGTCTTTTCACACCACACCACTGGCTCAAGAATAAAAAAAAGAAAAAAAAAAAAACAAAAATAGGCTGCAATGCATTGGCAGTTCAATCTAAATAAAGGCCCCGTTAATGCAATGCTTGTTAACGGACAAAGTACTGCATGTTAGTGTGCAGTAATACGCTGCAACTGAATGGACAGGTATGAAGGGGGAATAAAAATTATAAAATTCTATTACATGGACTTGAACCAGACTATTAATTGCCTAAATTGTTTTATATGGGAATTTAAATAAAAAACATAAGTCATTATCCTGTCCTACAGAGAGAGGGCTTTCTATAAAGACATTCATCTATTTCACCCTAGTTCTATAAGGATACTTATTTTGCTTTGTTGGGTGAACCCACAGATGAAATCATTGATGTATCCCTTTTGGTGCAGACGTGACGTGTAATAGATTGTATACAGAAGCTCTTTTTTGAAAAGTCAAAGCTTTTTGTTAGAGTTGCTGTTTATGATTTCTCTTCCAGCAGAGAAAACCAGCATTGAAAATCTTCACATTCACTCAGAATCGTGCTAATCAAAGTGGCCTTTATACACTCTATACTCATTTGCCAGTATACTGATTTTGATTCGGTTTCTTTTGTTCTCAGATGTCCGACTATAAACGTGCCACATTTCATGATGAGGAAGTCCAGGACCCTACTGGGGAGACCGCTTCATCTCCTGATACTGTAGAGGTAAGAACCTTTTGTGTTACCATTTTGCTGTCAGCTTTTAACTATAAATCAGCAAAAGAAAACATAATGATCCTAATGCATTATCCAAGAGACAATGGATATTAAAAGGTACATTCCACCTTTTGTAAGAAAAATAAATGCACCGGTATTGCAAAATTGGAAAAAACTGAATTTTTTAATTTTTTTTGCATTGGAGCCTGCAAAGCATTGCAACCCTGATCAGCGGATTGCGGGTGCAATTCACAGCTTCTGTAGACTCTTCCTCCAGCCTTAAGTCTATATGAAAGTGTGGACCTTCTTTTATAGAGTCGGAGGAAGTAAACAGTGGACTATAAGCAGGGCCAGGACAGGGGGTGGCTGCCCTGGGCACTGCAGTATCATTTGAAGTGGGGGGGCACCGCATGGAGATTGAATGGGAGAGGATTTGTGCTTGCTTAGGAAGGGGGAATTTGGGGGGCGGCAGGGGAATTTTTCTAGGAAGGGAAATTTGGGGCGTGTGTGCTAGGAGTGGTGATTTGGCAGGATTTGTGTTGGGAGGGGGGAAGAGGATTTGTGCAAGGAGAGGAAATATTTATTTTTTTGGTGGGGTGGTATGTGTGCTAGTAGGGATAATTGGGCGGTAGTTGTGCTAGGAGAGGAAATTGGGGGATTTGTGCTAGGAGGGGTGATTCTGTTTCGGGGGGGTTGTGCTGGGAGGGAGGGATTTGGAGTTTGGGGGAGAGGATGTGTACTTGGAGGGAAAATTTGAGAAGCAGAGAATATGTGCTAGGAGGAGCGATTTTTTTTTTTTTTTGAGGGGGGGTGGGCTGGGTGGATTTAGATTTGAAGAGAGAGAGGATATTAGCTGGGAAGGGGGAAGGGACATAATGCATTGTCTCTTTCACATGTAATAAATCAAAATTAAATTACACTCACACAGAATTGCTCAAAAAGTGCCAAAACCTCACCAAGTGTCACCATACTATGTCCATAAGTCATACTCTTATCCTTTATAAAGCAAGAAATTTTGACTAGAGGGTAAGAGTAGGAATTGCGTAAACATTGGGTTTCCCTGGAAAGCTCTTATACTTCGGCCCCCTTAAGATTTTCACCATGGCTGTCAAAGTCTGCCTATCCAAAGCGTCTGTTAGCACATCCCTTAATTGGAGCAAAATTAGAGGCATTTCATGATGTCACAAGGGTTGTGGGCTTTGCTCATTCTCCTGGTCCTCTCACTCCTATAGCTGATAACCCAGAGTTTTCCCCCGGGCTGGAGAAGGGAGTGATTCCAGTGCATGAGCCAGGCTTATCTCTGTTAGAGACTCACTGCCTCAAATGTGGGGGAATTAAGTCCAAGGTTGAGCTCCAGGAATTATGTGGAAAGGTTTCTCTCCCATACTGGACTTATTTTTAAATGCACAATTTCTTGACTAACCACAGATGGAAATAAGCTTTTTCTAGTCCCCTTGCAACCCTAGAATCGCTTTGTTTAAAGGGGAAGCCCATTCACAAAACCACTTCTCTGGCCTATTCTTGGCTTCAAAACCTGATCCCCCTGACAATTTTCAGATTGGTTGGGAATCAGCCCTTCAGATAGAGTTCTCTGATGTGCAATGGAAAAAAGCCTGCATTTTTGCTCACAAATGCTCCAGCAGCACTAGGACTCAAGAAACCTCCTATAAATTGTTAACAAGATGGTACGCTACTCCTGGTAGGTTAAAGAGGAGGTTCCCCCAGATGTCAGGCCTATGTTGGCGCTGTGAATTAGCCGAGGGTTCCCTGTTACATGTTTGGTGGCAATGCCCACGGCTTATGCAATTTTGGGACAAAGTGCGCAAGTTGACATACTCTATTACTGAGACTGCGTTACCCTTAACCCCTGAATGTTGTCTCCTCCATATCTCTGAGTGCTCCATGAAATCGTACAAACAATTCTTGGTCCTTAATCCCCAGGCATTGGAAGACCACTCATGCCCCCTCGATTCAAGATTGGTAAGAGCGGTTAACGTAATTCAGGAGCTGGAAAGGACACTGACTATGACCAATGACATGGTTACCAGATTCCATATACTATGGTGAAGTTAGTATGCTTTCACCTTTTCAGAAACGTATAGAGGGCTGATGGGGCGAATAGCACTTTTTTTTGCTTTTCGATGTGCGTATCATGCTTGTGGAAATTTGACACTGCTTGTGGCAATGGATCTGTTCTTACAATTGCTCTTTTTTTTCTTTCTCTTTTCAATTTCATCCTTCTGTTCATGCACTTTCTCTTGTCAGATTTGATGTTTATATTTGCAATGTAACCATTCCAATATGTGAATATCTCATATAAATATAGACCATTGATTAACCGTACTACTGAATTTTACTGAAGTCATTTTTTGTCACCATGTACTACATGACTTCATACCATGCAAAGCAGTTTTGTAGTTCATTGATGTTCTATGATATGCTTCTTTGAATAAACCTCATTTGTTTAAAAAAAAAAAAAAAAGAATAGGAATTACGGACATAGTATGGTGACACTTGGTGAAGTTTTGGCACTTTTTGAGCACTTCTGTGTAAGGGTAATTTAATTTTGATTTATTATATGTGAAAGAGATAATGCACTATGTGCGGTTTATAAATATTATTTTTGAGGGGTAAAGAGGAAGAAGACCACACTGTCTTGGAGATATCAGTTGTGCTCAAGTGTTTACATACACTGACAGAAACTGTGAAATTTTGGCATTGATATTGAAAATATGACTGATCATGCCAAAAAATGCTCTTTTATTGAAGGATGATGATCATATGAAGCCATTTATTATCAAATAGTTGTTTGGCTCCTTTTTAAATCATAATGATAACAGAAATCACCCAAATGGCTATGATCAAAAGTTTACATACCCTGAAATGTTTGGCCTTGGTACAGACACAGAAGGTGACATACACGGGTTAAAATGCCAATTAGAGGTTAATGTCCCACATCTGTGGATTTTTAAATTGCAATTAGTGTCAGTGTATAAATAGTCAATGAGTTTGTTAGTTCTTACATGGAAGCACTGACTAGGCTAGATACTGAGCCATGGGGATCAGAAAAGAACTGTCAAAATTCCTGCGTAACAAGTTAATGGAGTTAAAGCCACAGATGTGGGACATTAACCTCTAACTGGCATTTTAACCCGTGTGTGTCACCTTGTGTGTCTGTACCAAGGCCAAACATTCCAGGGTATGTAAACTTTTGATCAGCCCCATTTGGGTGATTTCTGTTATCATTACGATTTAAAAAGGAGCCAAACAACTATTTGTTAATAAATGGCTTCATATGATCATCATCCTTCCATAAAAGAGCATTTTTTTTGGCATGATCATTCATATTTTCAATATCAATGCCAAAATTTCACAATTTTCTGCCAGGGTATGCAAACTTTTGAGCACAACTGTAGGAGCTGAGCACTTAAAGACCCATGGTGAAATTCCATGAAAAATAAGAACTTACCATATGAATTTAAAATATGAGACTACGGACTTTCTGATCAATTTTGGACGCTGAGCAACAGTTTATTCACATCCTATGTTGAGTTTGCATCTTTCCTTTATGCTTGCGTAGGTTTCCTCCCACACTCCAAAGACTTGCTGGTAGGTTAATTGGCTCCTGTCTAAATTGTCCCTGGTATATGTATGTATGAATGTGAGGTTGGGACCTTAGAATGTAAGCTCCTTGAGGGCAGAGACTGATGTGAATAAACAGAATAAATTGTTGGCACTATATAAATAGCTGTAATAAATAAATATTGGCCTGATGGACAATAACAATCCAACAAGGGCTTATGTATTCTGCAGGAGGCATGTTTCCTTCTCTGAAAGAGGAACACACATGTTCTGAAGTGGGCTGCCTGTCTGACCTTCCATGCATGCCATCCCAGTATGCTCAGATCCAATGGTTTTTACCCTCTGAGAATTCCAATTTTAGAGCTATGTTCTCACCACTTGTTATTTGCTGTTGGTTATTATCCAAGTTTCCATGCCAGTTTGGTTTGAATTCATATTTGCCAATCCATTCTCTTTTTGATATTGCACTAGACAGTGTTGCTTTCTACCTTTGAATTCTACCCTGTAGGTTATGCTGACAGACAGCTAGAAACTTTTTTAATGGTTTTTTTTCCATTTGCAGCCTTGCATGTATTTGTACTGGATGTATATTTGTGTGCTTTAGACCGATTAACCCTCTTGCCGACCGCAACATAGCCGAATGACGGCTTCACCGCGGTCCGTCCAGTTTCTGATGGACGTCATATGTTTTTATAGTTACTGTAAATCACTTGCAGTCCAATGGAAGCTCTGCATATAAAACAGACAGTCTGAGGTCCTCTGCGGGATCTTTTCATTTTCATAATCATTCTACTGTGCTGCTAATAACAAAAGGAAAGGAACTGAAATAAATTGGAATCATCATTTATATGTCTGGGGCAGAGTGTTATCAAAATGCAGACCTGCCTAAATATTCATTTACAAAACATTTCTAATTGGCTTGCTAGGAAACTTTTTAAATGTTTTTTTCCATTTGCAAGCCTTGCATGTATTTGTACTTGTTAGATGTATATTTGTGTGCTTTAGGACATTAATGTATGTAACAACATACTAGTTTTATGTAACTGCATAATACATTATCATAGTTTAGCTGGATTTCCTAAACATACAAGTGTAATTTAGTGGAAAAAAAAGCAGTTCTGCTTTGTAATTCACTGTTTTGAGAACTCAATTTGGCTGCTAAGACAAGTACTGTACGTTCTACAGTGCCAGTCAGTGCCGTCTATCAGTACCCATATATAATTAATTTACTATGCATTAAAGTATATATCCATCTAAACTTTTTTTAGTACTGCTCACAGACTGAAGTAAAACATTTTTATGAGAGTGGGAAAAGGCTAGAACCCCTCATATTTTAATTTCTGTCTGTGTCCTGTGATTTTCCCTCACTTCCTTCTCAGTGAAACCATTGTCAGCAGGAAGTTAGGGTAAATTAATGGAACTGAGCC